ATGGCATCCTTCAGGTGGATGCAGTTGTCGTTCATATGAACGTGGCTCTTGTGGAACCGACAATATTTCGACTTGTCAGTGTTGGGTTTGGACGGTTTCTGCTTTGGGAATCGGATCCCTGCCTGCCGAAATTCGGAGTTGGCGCATTCAGAAAGAATATTCTCTCTCAAAATTGTCAGGGGAGTGTATTTGTGGAATCGGCCGGAGGGCCCCTTGTTGTCCCTGGACTCTTGGGGACAATCTTCTCGTCTTTTATCTCCCAAACAGGATGTCGAGGGCTCGTTGGACCTAGAGGTTCAGGAATTCTCCCTGTGCCTAAAATCACGGGAAGAGCTGACGGCCTCCTTCTCTTTGTACTGAATGTACGCTTTTGCTTTGAAGAGGAAAACGTCTAGCGTTGTTGGGGGCCGGATGCCCACAACTTTAGCGAATTCGGTGCGGGAATGGAGCCCGCGCTCGAGAAGAAACTTTTTCATGTCATCGGTTGTAAAAACCTAGAAAGCTCCTTATTGAACCTTTTGATGTAGGCTCGTAGGGGTTCATCTCTCCCTTGAATGATGGCCTCAAGGGAGGCTTCAGTTTCGGATGACGGCGAGAGGTCGTGAAGTGTCTGGAGAACAGTCTCCCTAGTTGTCTCCGTGAGGTGATGGAATCGTCAGGGAGTCCTTTGTACCAGGTTATCACTCATTTCCTGAGTGTGGTGAGTCCTTTGTACCAGGTTATCACTCATTTCCTGAGTGTGGTTGGGAATAACCTGCATTTGATAATGCACCGGACGCCGCGATAATCAAACAACGCATCGATATTTTTGATGTGCTCGTCGAGGTCTGTCGTACTGCCGTATGTGCCCAGAGAGGGGGGTTTCTCCAGTCCCTTCGGCAGGCGCATGTTCATAATCTCCTAGGACAATAAGGCGCGAGGCTCGTCATCACTACTGCTGTTGGTCCAAGACGAGGAGAGGGTGTCCCTTCTATACGTAGGATGTCAGTCTCGTCGAGAAGACGGGTTCGTGCTCGACCCTTAGATCTGGGCAGGGGCGAATGTTGGGATTCTGCATGGTGGCCCCTCTTCTGGTCCTCTTGGGTTGTGGGGAATGCTGGTTCTGAGGAGAGATGTGGTCGCGCTTGTGGATGATCAGGGTCTCTGGCTCCAGAGGTGTATGACGGTTCCTCTCGCGCTGGGGAGGGGGGCTTCATGGTCTCTAAAGCTCCTTTCTCGGCAGCGGGGATCTTGGACGACTGAACTCTTCTAATGCTCCAATCCTCGCGTTCTGGTTGAAGATTAGGAGGTTGGTCTTGTTGAGAATCTCAAAGAGGGCAGCCATGATCGGGTCGGTGCTGGGCGGAACTGGGACCCACAGGTGTTGTGGGACGAGCGGGACTTCACTGTGATCTACACGAGCAGGGGATGAAGAAGCTATGACTTCGTCCCTTTGTCGGAGGACGTCGTCTCCACGAGAGGTGATAGCTCTGTCAACGTCAGTCTTGCTGACGGGGAGGAAAGCAAAGTTGCGAGCATCAAGAGTGTTGTCACGGCTGACCGTGATTGGGATTTCGAAGAATTATTTTGGTCTTGTATATATGGAAAGAGGAAAGACGGGGATAACAAGTTCCCCACAGTCGACGTCACTGATCTTACTGGTTGATCAGAACCAGAGGTGGGCCAAAGACAATCGTCTGTGATGCTGGGTGTGAAAGAGGAGGAAAGGGTGTACCTGCAAGACACTTCGATGCTAAAGTAAGAATCAGGCGAGAGAGAGAGAGAGAGAGAGAGAGAGAGAGAGCAAGTACAGAATATGAGTATATTAGGGTGAATATTGGATATCTGACCCTCTCAAGTGAGAGAGTTTTTATAATGCCCACAATGATTGGCCATTGGTTCCTATTTTCGGGGCGAGATAACCATTTCCCGAAGAATAGGTAACTGCCAAAACTAGCCGTTGGAACGGGCAGAAGCGCCCATAACTAGTCGTTGCTGCGAGCAGAGGGTAATTGCGGGCACATGTGCATGGGCTATTTCTGGATGGTGGGACCGTGCGTGACGGGCAGAGACTGACGAGGAGAAGTGTTGTGACCAGGGGTAAACTGGTTAGCCTCCCCTATTGAAGGGGCAAAAAGGTAAATTATCCCCCCAACGTGATTGGACTAAGGCAATTGGACCGTTCTGAGAGGAGAAGTGGATTGGGTTATGTCTAGTCATTGGAGCAGTTCAAAACAGTCACTATGATCATTGAAGCATGCTAATAAAAAATTTCATCAAATTAAGGAATATTGAGAATTGGTTGAGTTTGACTATGTTGAGCCATCAAGTGGAGCAACACAAACAGAATTAAAAATGAAAAATAAAATTAATAAAATTAAAAAGAGACACTTGAAGCAACATAAATAAAATTAAGGGTTAAATATGTTTTTGATCCCTATAAACATCTTATATTTCATTTTTAATCCCTATTAAAAAAATATATATTTTAATCCCTACAAAAATTTTATGCATGCAATTTTAATCCTTGCTATTTTTAAAAATTTTGAAAACTATTTAATTATCCCTAAATTTTTAAATTTTTGAATATTTTTTTTTCCATATTATTATAAATTTTTTTTAGCAAATTATATAATTTTTTAAATAAAAAAAAATTAAATATGAATTTTTTAAATAAAAAAAAATAATGATAAAAGTAATGAAAATCTCGACTTATAAATCAAAATTTGAATTTCTTTTTTTTTTCAAAAAATTTTTATAACGTTTTAAACATATCTGCAAAATAATCATTCAAAAATATATATTAATTTGACAGTAAAGACTAAAACTACGTGCATAATTATTTTATAAAGAACAAAACACGCTATTTTTTTTTATGAAAACAAAAAATAAAATTTAATATTTTATAAGAATCAAAACATATTTAATCCTAAAATTAAGACCCTTTACATTTTTTACTTTTCCTTAAATACATATTACTTTAAAATTATATATATATATATATATATATATATATATATATATATATATATATATATATAAAATATATATATATATATATATATATATATATATATATATATATATATATATATATATATATATATATAATTTCTTTGATAAAAAATACGTTATTAATTAATTATTAAATATACGTATTTTCTTTTCTGATAACAATATTTATAAAAGTGACACTTTTTATTTTTGACAGTTTGTTTTATTACAGTGCCTTTTACTATTTTTATTTATATTTTTTGAAAAACCCAAACCGAATAGTATCATTTTTAACACTTAAATTCATTGTTGAAGAGTTTTACAATAAAGCAGAGAGACTCTTATTTCAGTTCAGCCTCTTTTTCAGAACCCCACACTTTCTCTCTCGTTCAAGCCGTTACTGATCCTTCCGAAGCTCAAGGTAACACCGCCGTGCCACTCTTCTCCGGTAGTTCTTTCCGGTTATCATAATTTGCATTTCGAACAATTCGCATCTCATTTTTCCGTTTCAATTATAATCTCAACTGATGAATTTTCTTCTCTGCGATTGTTCTTCGCCGGTTTATCCATTGAATTTGATTCATCGTGTTCATGATCTCAATTCTGATTTAATTTCACTTTAAATTTCATCATCGTGTACGAGAAACGCGTTGTTAATTTCTACTATACGTTTTGAAGGTCGGTTTTGGCTTGTATTTCAAGGATTAATCATATTTTATTATCATCATCATCATCACTGCACTTATAAGGGATGTGAATTTTTCGTTATCGTAGTAATTTTATCCTATGACGACTAAGTTTCTATTTGGCAAGATTTTTTAAAGCTTATAAGCTCATATTTTTAGAAACTCTGTTAGATAACAGTTATTTTTATCATGAGTTTTTTTCTTGAGAAAATCACAAGCTTATAATTTATTTTTATTAGTTTATAGTTTTTTTATAAGTTAGTTTAAGCAGCTTATAGCTTACATTTTTTCCTATCAATTTTATTGTTCAAGTGCTAATTTTACCAAATACTACAAGTTAAATCAGTTAGATTATTTGATATAAGTTATCGGCTAGTTTATCAGTCACCTACTATACGTTAACTTATCACCTATTAGCTAATTTTTGCAGAACAGATTAGAGCCTAAATGTTTTCTAACTACTCACAATAGAGGAGCTAAATCCTTCTTGAAATATACTACAGAAGTGTCCGTTTGTGGTTACTACTAGTAGGACTAGCTGAAAATAGAACCTTGGACTAAGAGTTACTCATACTATTTTATACTTAGGTCTGAGTCAATGATTAATGTGTTCTAAGGTTCATGGATTTTCCTGTTCAGTATGTATCCTGAAAGATTAAACTTCAGGAAATGCCTCTCAACATGTCTTTTAGACACACAAGTAATGGCCGAACTTAGCATGTTACTTAGTTATTATGGATGAGTCAATTAATTATCTTCTAGTTCAGTATTCTGAGACAGATGATTAATCTAAATTAGTATCTCATTATATTTACTTGTGACTTCATATATTTTTATTTCAAAAGCCAGGTTTGTCCACTTTTTTCTCTGCCTGATTTTCTTGTGGAGTACTTCTAGTGCATTGTTAGGAACATTATATGTTTCATGACATTGACTTCCAACCATTAGGATGTGTTTGGTCATTATGGTAGTTTGGGATGGAAATGTAGCATAACATAGTATAATGGATGTTGTTTATATTGAGATATTTAATAATCCCGGTTGTTTTGTGCAATATGCTTATTAGTACTACACTTTCTGTATTTTAGATGAATTCTTTTCTCCATTAAATAACTTGTCAAACTTCTTTTATGATGCTGTTTGTAATGATGCCATAAAATGCATGTCTTAACTGAATATTATTTTGATTCTTCTTTCTTGGTGCTTTTCTAATATCTGATATTGTCCTTGGTTCTTGATTTGGTGGAAATATATGTTTCAAAGTATCCACTCTGCCTTATATTTATTTTTGGTCTTAAATTAACTGTAACCTTCATTTAATGTTGTAGTGTGCCTGCCAGAATGGGGTTGGGAAACCTTTACAGAAGACGTATTAGAGTATTTACAATGGCCGTAGTAGTATACCTAGATTATAAGGTGAGCTTTATTTGTTGCTCGGATTTTATTTTATTAGTAAATAAGTCTATTAAACTTCTTATTTTCTTGTATTTATGTCATTAGGGTGTACAACAACGAGAGAAATGGGTTAGCAAATCTAAACAACCCGCGCTGTGGGAGAAGGCTCATGAGAGGAATGCTAAACGAATTCTAAAATTGATAATAGAGATGGAAGGCTTGTGGGTGAAACTTGGGCAGTATATGTCAACACGAGCAGATGTTCTTCCTGCAGCTTATATAAATAATTTGAAGCAGTTACAGGACTCCCTTCCTCCTCGACCATTGGAAGAGGTCTTCTAAAAATTTTCGATTTAAAAATTACTATTATGTAGTGAAAAGAAAGAATGCTTTAGGGAGATAATTTACATGATAAGGTTTCAAAAAAAAAAATCCCAAATATTTCTTAGCATTTGATGTTTTGTTTGTCTTTTACATGACTAATATCATAGCTTATTTTACTCTTTACTAAATTCACACTTCCTCTGTTGAAAATGAAATTCACAATCTATGAACAAGAATAAGGGATATTTACATGAGAATTTACAATTTTTCTTGAGTTGCCATCAATACCAGATTTCTCAATGTACTTTATATTTGAAGGTCTATGGTACGATACAGAAAGAGTTGGGGAAATCAATGGATGAGCTATTTTCGGATTTTGTCAATGAACCCTTGGCAACAGCATCAGTAAGATCCTGAAGATATTTTTGCTGCTAGAGGATATTTTTTAACTCAATTAAGAATCTTTACAATTAATTTTTTTCACCTCGAGTTTGTTGGTTCATTCGAATCTAAGCTACACATTTTAAGCAGATAGCCCAAGTCCACCGTGCAACTCTGCTCAATGGACAGGAAGTGGTTGTTAAAGTTCAACACGATGGCATCAAAACAGTCATACTGGAGGTTTTGCTTGTTTTGTCCTTTGGGATATATGAATATTAAGGTCACTGGAGGCTTTCAAATAATATTTTGACATACATTGTTTTTCAGGACTTAAAAAATGCAAAGGCAATCGTTGACTGGATTGCATGGGCCGAGCCACAGTATAACTTCAATCCTATGATTGATGAATGGTGCAAAGAAGCTCCTAAAGAACTTGACTTCAATCTTGAAGCAGGTAATTTTCTGGTCTTTTCTAATTTATGACGTTGTAAAGCCAGATGCGTGCCTAAAATAACTATGGTATATTTTGTTGGAACTAGTTGCTTAGATTTTCAAGGCTTATGCTTGTCTTTGTGATTGTATGCCTTTGGTGTTTATCAGAGTTTCTTAAGGGCTTCCTTTGACTGACATGTTGAAAAAATAATGGACTATTTATTAACAATTGTTTCATTTTGAAGAGTTGTTCTTTTGTTGGGGGGGGGGGGGGGGGGGGGGGGGGGGGGAGGTATCTTCTCCTTTAATTGTTCTCCTTATCTCTCTTACTAACTCTTCTTTTTCTGTAGAAAACACCAGAACTGTAGCAAAAAATCTTGGTTGCAGAAACCAACATGATGGAAATTTAAATCCCAATAGAGTAGATGTTTTAATCCCAGATGTAATTCAGGTATCTCTCTTCTTCTACAAATTATATGATTGAACTATTTATTCAGAAAGGTGACATTATAGTTGATCCATCTGAAAGTATTCAGAAAAAACATGTGTGAAACAAGTGATCCTTTATATTCGTGATTTTCACAAGTCCTTGTCATCTTAAAATGGTAACATAATGCGATTCATTCTCAAACCTAGACCTGATTCGACATACATATTTGTTTATGTCAGGCTAGAAGTGACCTTAGTTTATATATTTCTCTACAACGTTGCATAGCAATGTAATTAAATATTTTTTCCCTTCGTATATCTTAAAATGATTATATGATGCGATTCATCCCAAATCTAGACCTGTGTGTGTGTGCGTGCCGCCTTTTCTAAGTGCAGTTTCCCCCAGTAATTAGGCATTCCCCCCTGTCGAAGTGAGTATAATATTTTCCTTCTTGTGCATGCATATATTAGTGTACCTATTGGTACCTAAGCTTTTTATGGGCTTATAACAAAATGTAGTTCTTTTTTATTCTTTGGCATTATTTTTCCTTTTCCTTGTGTAGTTTGTTGTATGTATATATGATCTGATTGCTTCCAATAACAGGCTACTGAAAAGATCCTTGTTTTAGAGTACATGGATGGAATTCGGTTGAATGATTTAGAATCACTACAAGCACATGGAGTGAATAAACAAAAGATTGTTGAGGAGATTACTCGTGCCTATGCCCACCAAATATATATTGATGGGTTTTTCAACGGTGATCCTCACCCAGGTGTACTATCTATCTCTCTCTTATATGGTTGTGCCTGTGTATGCATGAGCAAGAGTCAATAATGTTTTCATGTACAACATTTTTCAATTTATTGCAGAAGTTTCATAATAACTTTCTGTAATAATTTTCCAATTATTCCATGTACTCATGAGAATGGTTCTCTAACTTGAATAATTACAGGAAATTTTCTTGTGAGTAAGGAATCTCCACATCGTCCCATTTTACTCGACTTTGGGCTTACAAAGAAACTTTCAAGCACCATTAAGCAAGCACTTGCAAAGATGTTTTTGTCATCTGTTGAGGTTGATGCTGGCTTTTATGCTTTTTCATTGTTGTATAGATTCTGACAAAGTTGTATACATTGTTAGTTTGGTGGTTATAACTGTTGTTTTCTTGAGCATAGCATCTCGGAGTCTGAAAGTTGTTTATCAGGCTCTTACACGAGCAGCTAGCATATTCTATCCTGAATTTAAAGGGTTGGGTTTTAAATTGAACATTGGTTCTTAAATTTAAAGTGTACCTTAGTTGTTTATCAGGCTCTTACACGAGCAGCTAGCATATTCTATCCTAAATTTAAAGGGTTGGGTTTAAATTGAACATTGGCACAATACAATACAAAATTGAATAGTATGAGATGCGGGTAGCCCAACAATAGATATAGAAGAGGCTCTGATACGATCTTAAAAATTTAGATTTAGCCTAACTCAACCTTACAAACCAGCTTGTAAGGTGAGGGCTGCCCAAACCTTCTAAACATCACACATGCTATATCTCTAGATAATTTGGAACTAAATACATTCTTTCACACCCAACACAATGAAAGTGTTAGAGGATGCAATGAAGGATGCCTAAATGCTGCAATTAGGCAGCTAGGGGTGGACCTCAATGATAGTAGAACTTCCAACACACACCCTCACTCTCGGGCTCAATGGACTTGAAGTGTGGCTGTGGACGATGTGGGAAGTCCAACATTAGATCTTGAAGAGGCTCTTATACCATCTTAGAAATTTAGGTTGGGCCTAACTCAACCTTATATATTGGTTTGTAAGGTGGGAGTTGCCCAATCTTTATAAACATTACACAGTCTATGTCTCTAGGCAATGTGAGACTAAATCCACCTCTTCCCACCCAACACAATGAAAGTATTGAAGGCTGCAATGAAGACAATCCAAATTTAGTTGAGCTATACTTTATTTTCGAAAGGAAGTTTCTAAGGTGTACTAGAGATGTAAATGCCATTTTCCTAATCTCACATGACAAAATAAGCTTTTGGTTGGGTGGTTTTGTTACACTCATGGAAGTCAACAAAGAAAGTTCACAATAGCCACGTGTCTATGATTTAGGAACAAACAGTCGTAATTTTTACTGTTTATTTCACTTTTCACTTTTGTATGAAATTTTCTTTAGGGTTGTCATTATCGGTAAAAGTTTTCTGTAACTATTGCTCCAAAAGTTATTTCTAAATGATGACTGAAGTTGTCAGCCTTTTTATCATAGGGGGATCATGTGGCCCTTCTGTCCGCCTTTTCAGAAATGGGGCTTAAGCTGCGTCTGGACATACCAGAGCAGGCAATGGAAGTGACAGCTATATTTTTCCGTGCAACAACACCAGCAAGAGAAACGATTGTAAGATTCCTTAAAGTGCTAAAAGTATACCACTGTTTACTTTCTTTATGTTTAATTTTATCTAATTCTGATGTATTTTCGATGCTAAGGAATCATTGAAATCTCTAGAGGATCAAAGAACTAAAAATATGAAGGTTATACAAGAGAAAATGAACCTTGACAAAAAAGAAATGAAACGCTTTAATCCAGTGAGTTTGGATACAAACTTGCACTATCTTTTTCTATTCCAAATTTATGAAGCTGATAGTATGTTAGTTACAGTCATATTTAATTAAAAAAAAAATTTTCAGGTTGATGCATTTCCCGGTGATATTGTAATATTTGGAAGGGTTCTTAATCTTCTAAGAGGTCTGTCGTCTCACACTGGGAATATAATGCCGCTGTAATGCTTATTTGTTCTCTACAACCTATTTTACTTGCCTGATTTGGATGCAGGGCTTTCTGCTACCATGGGCGTTCACATAGTATATATGGACATAATGAGGCCATTTGCAGAATCTGTTTTGAGTGGGTGAGTCCTTTTCTTTTTTTCTTTTTATAATTTTTTTAATTTTAAATTATTAGTGTCTTCTTCATTGCTTGTTTCACCTATGGCTAATATGAGGTGAACTTCCCAGGTTTATTAGTAGAGGACCATCGGTAAATGATGGATGGGTTTTTGATTCACCAGTGCATTCTGGTGTTGAAGCCAAGCTGAGGCAACTTTTAATTGAGTTGGCAAATAACGATAAAATACTTGGAATCCAGGTGCATGTTACATTTGTTAACTCTTAGTATATACTAATGCTTGAGAATTGAGATTGCTTTGGTTTGTCTAATGCATTTATAATGATTAATTACTCTTTCAGTCTCATGTAACTATTTGGGTTGTGTGCAGTTTTTTATAAAATAATTAGTTTGATTGATTTTAATGATAAAATGATTTTCATCTACTAAAGTATCCTTCTTAATAGTAAGTGTATAAGTAGGGTTGATTGAAATACAACAAATATGAGATTATTAGTGGAAAAAAGTAATTAATGTTTCTTTGATAATATTAAATAACGAATAATATGAGGCATAATAATTGCAATGAGACACTGGTAATGAGATGGATGGAGTGCCTTTCCTGATAGCCAGTTAGCTTATCTACACTAGACTAGATCAGGGTTGAATATCAAGAATTTACTTAGACTTTGTTTGGGAGTTTGAAGGGGTTGGGAAGGGAGGGGAGGGCTTTGGGAGGAGATAAGTAGAGAGAAAAATAGATGAATCTTTTAACTTGTTTTGAGATAAAGATTTTGTGTAGCATGATAGATGAATACTTACTATTAATATATTTTCAATATTTAGATTATTGTAACAACATAGATTGGTAGATTATGCTGTAAGGACAGTAGATGAGATAGATAAGAGTCAAACATCTAGAGGTAGAGGAAGATTTAGATTCTAGATGAAGATTTAGAAAAACTATAAGAGACTATGAAAAAAGATCTAGCGATTAACAAATTGGATAGAAACATGGTCTTTAATAGAACATTATGGCGTAATTTGATCCATGTAGCCGACCTCACTTAGTGGGATAAGATTTGGGTGTTGTGGTTGTTGTTGTGGTTGTTGTATTTAAGCCCTCCAAATTCCTTCTCCACTACAATTTTTTAGTTGCCTCAAACTAAAAAGATTGTGTTATGAAGAAAAGTAAGTCCTCCAAAACTCTCCCCTCTCAAAATTCTTTCGTCCCTTCTCCCAAGTTCACAAACAAAGCCTTAATTTATTTTTTATGATTTGGGTGAAAATTATGAAAGTTATTGAGTATTCCATTTTTTCACATGTAATGTTGCTTCCAATGCATTTGATGTCCAGCTAGTAAATGAAGTATATTTTAATTGTTCTAATAAACTGCCTCAATTTCTTAAAGGTATGCGCTTACAAAGATGGAGAGGTCATTATTGACACTGCCGCTGGAGTGCTTGGTAAATATGATCCTCGTCCAGTTAAGCCTGATAGCCTTTTTCCAGTGTTTTCTGTTACAAAGGGTATCACAGCAGGAATGGTACATTGGCTGGTTGACAATGGGTATGTTGTAAGATGCTAGGACTATTGAGTTTGATTGCCTCTTGACTTTTGCTGTAACTTGTTTTTCATTTGAAAAATAAGGGCACGTTAATTTCCCATGTTTCATGTTTTCATTTTTACTTCAATTAATAAACATAAGAAGATATGAATCAAATATTTCCCTCACTGTTTTCAAATGGTCTTCCACATTCTGATACTGTGTGCATTTGCTCTATCCTTGAATGAAATGTTTCTGATAACAAACAGAATATGCTGCCTCATATATGATAGGCCCTTGTGTTTGCTTGATTGTTAGTATGGTTGTTGAAGAATATGAAATGTTAGATGGCGAATTAGAGATTTTATTTCCATGGGGCTAATTTCTTTAATGTTAAATTATTACCCACTTTGTCAGTAAAGAAAATAAAAGAAGGACGTGGTGAAAATGGAAAAGATGTGGGGGTAGAAAATAAGAATTTAAGGGAAGAGTAGGCGTTAAGCCTCATCTCATAGCCCAAATTCTAGGAGTTATTAAATTTAAAATATGGCTTGATAAAAACTCCAAATGCCCTCGTAGTACAACCTGGTGCTATAAAGCTCGTGCCATAGAAGGATCGGGGAAAGCATATGACCAGTTACAGAACTATGCAGTCTTACCTTACATTTAGAGTAGACTTAATTCCATGACTAGAACATTTGATCTTCATCACAAGGTATCATCTTCCGTCGTTGTGTCGATGCTTCCTCAATATTTAGAAGAATATACAAATAACATTCGAATTAATAATGAACAATTTAATAGGAAATAACACTTCTTTTTATGCATTCATTAATACTTGAATCTAATGCTGGAGTTTTATTCATGTGATTTTAACTTATAATAAGTTTTCTCCAGATTGTTGGACTTCTTTTTTCTATGCCGATTTATCTGCGCAACACGGATTGGTATACCACTGTATATAATTGTTTCAGTGAATGTCAGGCTACGTGCTGTGTTGTAAATGTTTTCAATACAACTGTATCGGTGCTAGTTTGGATAGTGTCATGTTTGTTCTTTGTCATTAGAGTTTAAAAAGTAGTTTTTTAAATTACGTGATGTCCTTTACTTTTATGCACGATGCATTTAACCTGAAATAGCTCTGCTTGCTTATTATCTTGCAGAAAACTAAACCTTGAAGAGAATGTTGCAAATATTTGGCCATCATTTCGATCATCTGGGAAAGAAGTCATTAAGGTCAAATACTGATATTTCCTCCAGATTAATGTGTTTGAAGGTATTATTTTTAATAATGGTTTAATCTTCTGTTTCAGGTTCATCATGTGCTTAATCATACATCTGGTTTGCACAATGCAATGGCAGACATGAGTCAAGAAAACCCTTTTCTAATGTTAGATTGGGATGAATCTTTAAACCGCATTTGTACTTCGGCGCCTGAGACTGAACCGGGAAAGGTGCAGATGTATCATTATTTGTCATTTGGCTGGTTGTGCGGTGGAATCATTGAGGTAAATGCGATACCTTTTGCATCAAAAACTTGATTCTTGTTGTAATAAATATTTTTCATTTTCATGTTTTATCTGAATTTCTGAACGAGTGATTGTTTTATTATAAAAAATGACTGTTCATGTATTATGTTAAATAAAGAAAGAGTAATAAAACTTTCATATAAAAAAGTAACTAATAAAATGATATGTTTGAGAATTATTTTCTTGCTTGTAAGTAATGAAGCGAAATGAAGTATATGTCTATATGACAGTCGGTTGGGAGCTCTAAGTTTGGACCTTGAACGTGTATGTCTCCAATCTTGTGTTGACAATCAGCATAGACCTTTATTAGTGTCTATTTGGATAAAAATAGGAATTTTGGTATTGTTGCAGTTGGTTTTAAATTATCATTCTGCTCGAAGTTACGACAAGCAAGGCTACTAAAAGAGACCTTGATCGTGTATGACCTGTGTGCTTATAGTGGCATGCCTCTACAATCTTGTATTGACAATCAGCAACACTTTTATTAATGTCTATTTTGATAACAAAATATAGGAATTTTGCCATAGTTGCAGATAGTTTTAAATTTTTATTATTCACATAGTTGCGAAAAGCAATTGCTAATAAAATTTTCCGACATGTTCTGATAATTTATTTGGATAAAACAGCATGCATCTGGAAAGAAATTTCAGGAGATCCTTGAAGAATCAATAGTTCGTCCCCTCCAGATCGAAGGAGAACTATATATAGGAATTCCCCCAGGCATGTCTTGATGAATAATTATTTATGTAGTGATGATAAGAAATTTATATTGGGTGTTGTAATATGATCATTTTATTTTCTATTTATGCCTAAGTAAATGGAGTTGAGGATTTCTGATTTTGGTTTCATGGATTATATTTTTAGGAGTGGAATCACGTCTTGCAGCTCTGACTGTAGACACAGATGATTTAAGTAAGTTCTCAGCGACCGGTAGTCGTCCGGAACTGCCCTCCACCTTCCAGCCACAGCAAATTGTTCAAATGGCAACAACTTTACCTCCTCTTTTCAATACACTAAATGTTCGGCGGGCCATCATACCAGCTGCTAATGGACATTTATCTGCCCGGGCACTTGCACGTTACTATGCAGCTCTAGCTGATGGTGGCAAGATACCGCCGCCTCATTCTTCGTCTTCTAAGCCAATACTTGGAAGTCATCCCCATATCCCCAAATTACCTTCTCAAAAAGTCCCCAAAAAGCGGAAATGTCTTGGAAGGGGGGTGGCAACTTTACCTTCAATTAATAAAAGTTATGAAAAAGTCTCTAGCAAAGAAGAATCTGAGGTTACAGAAGGAAGAAACAACATCAGAGATAGTAGCAGTAGTGATGATGTCGGTAGTAGCAATGTGGAAAGTAGTAATCCACGAACCCATGTTCCTGGTAAGGTCTATCAGAACCCTAGGATCATAGACGAGTTCTTGGGTACAGGAGAGTACGAGAACTTAACTTTACCAAATGGGGGTTTTGGCTTAGGATTTAAGCGGTTTAGTTCAAAGGATGGATCGACCATTGCGTTTGGTCACTCAGGAATGGGTGGATCTACAGGGTTTTGTGATGTTACTAACAGATTTTCTATTGCTGTGACATTGAACAAAATGTCGTTTGGAGGTGTCACTGGAAAAATTGTCCAGCTTGTCTGTTCAGAGTTAAACATTCCTGTGCCAGATGATTTCTTAAGATATGCAGCTGACCAAAGGGGAGATGCATATCCAGGGAGGCCTATGATTAATTAAGGGTGGAAGGTTTTGTACCATTTTTTCAACACTATTTATGCATAAATTTTCATTTTATCATCTTGATAATTTATGAGTGCATTGGGTCTATTCTTGTAATCAGGAAACTAAGCAATTAAAAAGCTAGCTTTGCTTCTAACATAATGTTTGTAATTATGTGCTCATAAATTTGAACTTTCGATAATTTAATTTATCTGCAGCATTGGGTATTTATAAATTTTAACCTATGTGGCTTTATCGTCACGCAAAATGTAAGATGAACAATCTATGGATGCAGTTCATTGTTCCTTCCATAAAGAATTATTGAAAACAGCAGTTCAGGCTTGTATCCACTACTAGTGTTCCTTTTCTCATTTTACTTCCTCTGAGATGTTTGTTCTCTGAGACCTTACACCTCTGCTAGATCTTGTCATCGGGCCAAGTTTTAACAATTCAGTCGATAACTTTCTTTTCAACATTATCTATTGATTAAATTTATGTGGATTCCCTTGTTTTGTGTGACATTCACATAAATTTCAACTAATATAGTATTGAAATGAGAGTGTTGTTTACACTTTTGTTTTGACCGTAGATAGTCTTAGTCTTCAAATTTGTCCAAACAAATCATATGAATAGAGATTAAATCACAGGTGATGAGGATGTGGGGATTGATTCCAATTATGCTGAATTTTCACACTATACTATTCCGAAGTGCTAAGCTCTTATGGGTCATAAAAAGTCCTAACAAGACAAACACTATCAGGAAAAATCTGGTTCACTTATTGATCAGTGCATCTTTATGCACATTCTCTAATATTTTTATTTGGGCATTTCTTTACTTTATTTTGATTATTCTTATGTTTTATTATGTTTTTATATTTTATTTTATTTTTGTTTTAATTTGATTTTCGCACTTTATTTTTCAGCTTTAGCAGTCGGCACGGAGACGATCATAACTGGAGTTCCGGGAATCTATTTGAGGCGTTCTAAAAATCTCCGGAAAGCTAAGAGAGAGAGCTACGACTTTCGTGTTGGAATCGAAGTCAGATTCGGAGCACATTTTCCCAGAATATTCGTTGAAGTTACAGCATTAGGAATTTGTTTTAGTTTTGGGTCATGTGTTGGGCCTGCGTTATGTTTTCGACCCAGTTGGGTTATGAACCAGTTGGTTATGAATTTCATTTAAAAAGAATCTCGTTTTACTGTTCATAATATATACTATTCACGAAAAAAATAGAAGAAAAGGTTTGAGAAGAACTCATGGAAAACTAATACCTCCGGACAGATCCTGCTGTGTAGGGTTTCAACACTTTGAGGTTATTATAATATCAATTTAAATTTGATTCCTTTCAATCCTTTTCTATGAAGTCATTTATTCAATTTGATTGCAATTGTTTATTTAATTCAATTGTTGTTCATATGATAGAATTAGTTAAATTCGATTGTATGCATGTTCCTAAATTTAATTGCGTGTTATCGTTTGCTTAATTCGTTAATTCGTCATATTCTTAACCGTTTGCTTAATTCGGTAAACAGGAACATAGGGGATTGATGTTATAATAGCTAATGATAAGTCGGAATCCGAATTAGTAGGATTAGCCGTTTTAGCTTATTTTAATAATTTTTTTTTTATAGTCACTTATTTTAAGTATTTTTTCTCTTAATCAAAATTCAAACCCCCATAAACTGTTACTGTAATTGGTTAATCACTACAAGGATTCTTGCGTTAATCACTACAAGGATTCTTGCGATACGATATTCCGAGTTACTGTCGCTGTACTGTATTTTTACAAAAACACTCGTTTCTGATCCGCGCGCGACAGCGGATCATAAGAGTACAGTTATCAAAGAGTAATCTTGTTATTCTATATCATTCATAACCCGCGATTTCAACGTCAACTAACCCATTTCATGAAATCAGTGACCAAGGAGTTCTATGTACACCATTGTACTCGCTTCATTTTTTGTAACTAAATTGTAAAAAATAATCATGAGGAAGACTAAACAAAAAGAAAAACACACAATTTGTATACATACAACACCGAGTATACATGTAGTCTTTCATCCAAAATAGGACTATTTTCTATAACATAACATGCAGATCTAATAATATAAAACAACACATACACAAACTTAGATATTCTAACTGGACACTACAATAACATGTGGTAGTACAAAATAGTTACTGCCATATGCTAGTCAAAGAGCTCACAGCATCATTATTGACTCCATTGTTGAAATCACTGCAAGATATATCAAAGTCTCCAAGTCCAATAACTGAATTCTGTCCAGTAACACCATATGAAGTATCATTACCGTGGACGGTAATGGTGGGCGAAACATGTGCCATGCAGCGGAGACTATTAGTGTTGATTTGTGGTGGAGTGGTGCTCAATTGATTTTGGAGAAGCTGGTTGTTAAAAGTGGGGAGAGTGCCCCTAGAGACCATATCCTCTGCTAATTTCACCTAAATTGAACAGAAAATTTCTTTATTAACAGCTCAACACATCATACATGATTTAAATTGTATTAAGACTGTTATTCTTAAGTGTTTGGAGATTTTTCACTCTCTTCAATGATACCTTAGCCCTCAAAGCTTCAACATCTGATTTTAGAACTCGGTTATTCGTGTTAGCATCGCGAAATTGTTGACTGGCATCTGTAAGCTGTTTAAATAGGCCAGCATTTTCCAGCCTCAGTTGTTCAACCTGAGAAACAATACATTAAAATCTCAAAGGAAATTGCTATAAAGGATCTATGTACTTAAATTTCTAAGAAGAGAAGTCAAATATTTAGTTAGGTAATTCAATTAATCAAATTACCTGAACCTCCAGACCTGCCAAATGTGCTTGTTTTCTTCTTCTGGACCTTCTTGCAGAGTCGCGATTCGACACCTTCCTGAAACCATGAAAATCATGTTAACTTGCATGAAAAAATCCATCTATGAATTTATAAAACTAACAAAAAACAAATGAATGTTTGAAGTACCTTCTAAGCCGCTTCATATCAATAGGGTTTGTGCTTTGTTCACAAGGACCTGCTTCATCATCTACATCAGATGGATCACGTGAAGAACCACTTGTTGTAGTTACTCCTTTGGTTTGATTTTCTCTACTGCTTGGTTTATTAGCTGACACTGGACTTGTAACTATCCATTATACAATTCAATCCAAAATAAATTATGTGACAAAATTATATGCACATACAATGAAGTTATCTATAAATGGTAATATATATCTTGTAATGGTGGGGACATGGGGAAGGTGATGTTATCTTGTATTTGAAAAAAAGTTGATACTACTGTTCTGCCATTATCCATAAGACCCCAACTATTGCATCATAACACAAAAGGAACAAGATATTTAGCATGCTTTTGTAATAATTTTATAGAACTTTAAAAGTATATTTCATTTTTTAAATTCTTTTTTCATTTATCTATATATACTATAACGTAGAGTATTACCGGTAGCAGAAATGGAAGATTGAGAATCAATAGTTGCAGTGATGGTAGAATCCTTGGGAGTGAGGTTTTGGGAGGATACAAAAGTATTCTTTGTCGGTTCACCACATGTTGAAAATGAAGTTACCGTATCCTGAAATTATGAATGCTAAATTAATATTTTCTTTGTAATAAAATATAAGCAAATTAAACTATATAAAATGTAAATGAAAATTAACTTTTGAAACTATATTAATAAAGTTATATTAAAAATGTCTTTAACTTAATTTAATTAAAAATGTAAGTCTTTTCAAAATCACAATTTCATTCTTAGCAAAACACACTAATTAATTATGTAGCACACTTAGTTAACTTCTTTAATGATATACTTCTTTCCCTTACACTTTTTTTCATGCAAAAAGTATAAATCAAAACAGAGAAAAAAACCCACTAAGAAAACAACATAGAAAAGATAAGGTATACAAAGAAGTAACAAAACAACACTCCACTTGTGTCTTTCACAATGACCCACTAAGATTGTGGGCAATTATACTAGGACCACTTCATAAAAAGTAGAAATAGATAATACATATATTTTTTAGAGTCTATTGGCAAACCACCTAATAGATACATGCATGGGGAAGAAAATAATTACTATAAAAGGCAAAAGGAATGGTCCATGTTGCTTTGTTTTATTCCTTTTCTATTTGAAACATATGATTTTTTTTAGTTTAGTGTTAGATTGAGCAAATAAGAAGAGGATGAAGGTTTTCTTTTTTTAAATATGAAGAAATGAGATTATCGTTATATAGTATATTTTTTTAATAAAAGGGTTGGATCATTTTAAGTCTCTTTCTTTGGGTTTATTTTGTAGAAGAGGATAATGAAATAAATGCAATTACTTAATTCTAGCTCACATATATGATTGTAGAGATTTGAAAAGGAAATAACATCTACTATGTAAGATATAAATTAGCAACACTTTCACTCTATTAACCAAACAACAAAAATAAAGTTATTCTTCTTTCCCTCCCCGCAACTAAATAGAAATCTCATTTTTAAAACAACTAAAATACACGATAAGTTAAAGCTATAATTTCTAACTTCTTTGAAACAGATGTCTAAGTATCCAAACATGGATCCAAACCCCTACTAAATTTATTTATTATTGAACCCTCATTTGAGAGAAACATCCAAAGTTTAATAGTTAATTAGTAACCAATATAATTAATTAGAATTTAATTATATTTTCCATATTTATTGAGTTTTTATCTTTATTGACGAAAATAAATTTTTCTATCCACTGATTTTCACGCAATTATGAAGTCGTGAAGTTTAGAAAATTTTGATTTTGATCTTACAATTTATAAATGACAAATTTGAATTTCATCTAACAATTTAAAATATATTTCTTTAACGCAACCATCGATTTTAATTAGACGGTTATCAATGCATGTCTGCGTGACGGTAGGAAAACCCAGTCTGTCTATTGAGATTGCAAAACATATAGTAGCTGCAGAGCTTGAATCCAAATGACATGTATATACTTTTAATCATATACTCTTTGTATAATTTGCAAGCC